GTGGAACATTTTTATGTAATATCTATTTTCCAAAAAATGTAATACTTTAATCAATTGGGATGGAGTTGGGATCGTGTGACTGTTGACTCTCTCATTTTTTTTAGTTAGTAATTTTAAAAAATTCATATGAATTGGTAATGTAAATTTGAGTTCTACACCATCATATTTATATGCCCATAGGACTGGTCTCCCATTCAGATTAGAAATTCATCACTTTTTTTTAATAGAGTTCTACTGTATGCAACATATTATGACAAGAACTGTCTTCGCATGAAGATGGTTTCCATAAATTATGACAGTTTTGGAAGATAACGGACAATATTTAAACATGTGGTTAAAGCATTAAGGATTTTGCCTTGATGGATTGGTGGTTTTAAATTAGATTACAAGAACTGTCTTGGCATGATAATGGTTTCTATAAAATGTAGTATTATGTGGATGTATAAACATACGAAGTATGAAGAAGGCAATCTTGAGGTAGTTCAAGAGTCTGCACGGATAATTTTAATTATTTGACAGCACCATGAGATACGATTTGGAATTGGATCACTTGGACCAATTGATTCAGGGCCAATACATGGTTTGATTGATCTCTTCAAGAAATTTAAGGGTGGTGTCGTAATAGTGTATCACTTTAACCTATAACAATTTCTTTTGCCAAGTTTGGTTGCCAATACTTAGTTTAAGATCCAGCACCATTGTTTTCCTTAGTGTTCATAGGTAATCATTTCCTTTAGTCTTATCTGTACATTTTGACTTGTATGCAGGAATTGCTCGTCCGAGAATTTTCTTTTCACCAGCTGAATGCTAATCTATTGTGGCCTGGTACATTTGCATTTGTCGAATGGTTGGTTCAACATAGATCATGTATAGATGGACGGAAAACAATTGAATTGGGCAAGTAGTAGATAGTACTTCTGTTTGTATTTACGCTTTGTGGATCCTGAGGACATGTCTCATCCTAAATTTTCTGAAGTTGCACCGTTGGACTTTTGATGCTTCCAAGAGAAGACCAGGTGTCCGGACAACAAGAAAGAAGAATACCTAATGGAGAAGCAGGTTTCTCAGGTTGTTCTAATGGAGAAGCAAATATTTCAATAGGATCTCTGAATAATTTTCCTGTAAGTAAGAATTACTCTATTATTAATAGGTTAGAACATTTATCAAAATTTTTTTTCAACGCTAACATTACCTTGAAAATTACGATTGCCTGTGCATTGCACGGGCAATAAACTAGTGAAGAAAGAAAAAATCTAAGCCGCATTTGAATAATTTGCTTGCACATAGAATATTTTTATCGTGAGAACGAGAAATTAAAAGTAAATTTTTAAAAAAATTTGAAAAATGATATATAAACATGATTCAGTGTCTTGTTTTGCAAGTTCAGAGAATCAGCTCGATTTACTGGCCGGTTGGTTAGTTCCCTTGTCCGTTCGGGTTTGTTGACACCGCTAGTTTGGACGAAAGGGTCATTGAACCATTATTTGCAGAGAAACCCTAACCGCTACAAAATCTCTCTTTTTTCTGTTCAACTTCCCCTTTGGGCTTTGGCCGTTATGGGTAGCAAAAAGCTCCAAACCGAGCCACAAGTCCTCAACACCAACGAGAATGGTGACACAAAACTCCAGAAAAAGCACAAACGAAAGCTTGAAGAAGCTGAAATCGTTACGGAATCAAAGAAAGATCTGAAGAAGAAGAAAAAGGAAGAGAAACAGGAAGAAGAGGCTGAAACACTAAATGGTTCGAATGAAATATCGGCAAAAAAGAAGAAAAAGGGCAAAGAAGTGGGAGAAAAGGAGATTTTGAATGATGGGTCTGTTGAAAAAGCAAAGAATAAGAAGAAAAAAGACACAGAGGGAGAAGGAATAGAGAGTTCGAATAACAATTTTAGGGGAGAGAAAACAATTGAGGAGGTTAGAGAAAGCAGCGGTGTAGTGGTATCAGGGAATAATGTGAATGATTCGAAATATAAGTCATTGAATTCGTTCGTAGAATCGGGGCTTCCAAGTGAGGTCTTGGAATGCTGCAAGAACTTTGATAAGCCATCCCCAATTCAATCCCAATCCTGGCCTTTTCTGTTGGACGGTCGTGATTTTATTGGAATTGCTAAGACTGGCTCCGGTAAACCCTTTTTTTGTTCTTTTCTTATCCCTTGAATACGGAATTTTGTGCAATACTGGAATTTGCTGTGCACGCTTGTTTTGAAAGCCTGTTGTTTGCATGAATAGGCAAAACACTGGCTTTTGGGATTCCTGCAACCATGCACGTTTTAGGCAAGAGAAAGAGCAAAATCTCTAAGAAAGTGAATCCACTATGTCTTGTCCTTTCGCCTACAAGGGAGCTAGCTCAACAAGTATGTATTTCTGTTGATTATAATTAAGTTTTCTTTAGGGCTAAGTTCTCTTCCGACTCCTCCTTCTGACTTCACTAATTTCTTGTTAGATATAGAACTTGTTTGTGACATGAGAAGAAGGACTGCTTACATAATAAGAAATGTAGCACTTGCTTTCTTTTGCAACTCGTGATGACATTCATGAATGTTAGCCTATGTTCATTATGATGACAATTGACATGTAATTATATTATTTGTTCCCAATAAGGTATCTTAAATAGAATATGATATAAACCTTAACCATTGATACAATTAAATGATGATGATATATAATGGTGAATTGGTGATAGATATCGGATGTTCTTTGTGATGCTGGGAAGCCTAGTGGGGTGCAATCAGTTTGTATATATGGAGGAACTTCTAAAGGACCTCAGATGTCTGCTCTGAAATCTGGTGTTGTAAGTTTGCCATAATCTTGATTGTGAATATATATTAACTGCAAATTGTATGTGTCTATGGTTCATAGTCCTCGTTACTTTACATGATGATTTTTCTAAACTACTTATCTAGAAATTTCATGTTAATCGTAATCTTTTGCTTTAAAGTTGAGTGATCTGTCTTCAATCGTCATGTTGTTTCTTTATATTTGGTGCACGTTATCAGTTCTCAATGCAGTATGATTTATAACTTTCAGGGTTAGTACAAATATAATTCCTGAACTACTTCTACCTGCCCTTTGGATTAACTAATATTTTTCTCTTTCACCTAGTTATTTCACAATCGAATAATTTTCAGTTTGAGATTAAAAAATGCATTCTACTTTAATTTTTTAAAATAATTGAGAATGTTAAACATCTTAATGTTAAACCTTATCTGTTAAAAAAAAAAAAAGAATCCAATATCTAAATTATTATTTTCATGGCACCCGTGATCTGATTTTTTCTGGTGCAAGAATTTGTTACCTCATTTTGTTTTAAAACTCCGTTCTATCTTTTGTAATCCTTCCATCTAGGATTTAGTGACCTTGTTTCCTTTTCTGGTTGTCCAAAACTGATGTCCTCTTTTCTTAAAACTGCACAATGTCTTTGCAAAAGTATCCTAAATACAATGTGCTCATTCTTTATCATGTGTCATAGTGGGGTACTAAGTCCTAGCATTTCAGTCAAGTTAATAATAAAATTAGCATTCACGATCGATTAGTCAGGTAATTATAATAATTTTATTTGATGGTTTGCATATTTCCAACCAACTCGAGTCTGGATTTGCTTGAAGATATGTGCGCCTGTAAGACTGTAACTCGAGTCTGCCTCTTTCTCTGTCTCAGGACATTGTTATTGGAACACCCGGTCGTTTAAGGGACTTGATTGAAATGCGAGTGTGCCACCTGAAGGAGGTGTCTTTTGTCGTAAGTAAAAATGTTCTCTTGTTATTTTCATGATAATTGTTTTTCATCTTGTTCTCGAGTTTTAATATCAATCATGATATAGAATTTTGCTACATTACTTGTCCAAATTCCAAAACACGATCTTCATTTTCTATCCCTATAATGTATTTCATCCATTTTCAATTCTCTTGATGATAATGAGGTCATCTTGTTTTTGCTTGTATCAAATGTTGACCTACGTACCCTTTCAATATGAGATGTGATGAAATGAGATATCTGTATGGTGTTTAGTTATGTTGAACAGATGTTTCTAATTATGATTTTTTCTTTAGGTCCTAGATGAAGCTGATCGAATGCTTGACATGGGATTTGAACCTGAGGTTCGCTCAATACTAAGTCAAACAAACAAAGGTATGATATGGAACATTGAAAATATATGTTCCTGAATGAGAATACGTTTGCTTTTGCCAAATTTTATTGCTATACATAGCTTTCTAGTTTCCGAAGGTCTCAACTGGCCTTCAGACATTTCACGTCTTTATATATACAGTTGAAATATATATGTTATTATTCTTAGTTACTAACTTGTAGACTTTGTAATTTGTTAGGGACTAAGAGTGTAAATATATTTTTCAATTTGTGTATATACCTTTATTGAGGGGGAGAGTTGAAATACATATGTTATTATTCTTAGTTACTAACTAGTAGACTTTGTAATTTGTTAGGGACTAAGAGTGTAAATATCTTTTCCAATTTGTGTATATACCTTTGCACAATAGATGAATAAAATCAGATTTTTCACTTCCAAATCGACTTATACACACACACACAAAATCTCTGTTTTGTGTGAGTATAATCTTATTGGTTTCTATAAGATGTTGGCTATGTTTATTTTGCTCTAAAATTTGCACTGAATTTCCTATATTGAATTTCTTGTTAGTATAACAATTGTATAAGGTAAATGTCCCTAGCCCTACTATTGCCACTCAGTATTAAAACTAATTGTAGTATTAAGTGCAACAAATGTTTAGCTATTTGTTAGTTTGCTATATCTGTTTTGCTTGATTATATTTGGATTCGCATTTTGTTTTAAGTTTCTTATTAGTATGGCCATTGGTTAATGTAAATGTCCCTAGCTTTTCATTGTTGCTACTTATAATATGACTCATTATATCACTAAGTGTAACTAATTTTTGGATGCGTAATTCAAATGTCACTTATGATGCAGCTCGTCAGATGGTAATGTTCAGTGCAACGTGGCCTCCAGCTGTCCATCAATTAGCCCAAGAATTCATGGATCCCTGCCCTGTTAAGGTGTGTCTAGGGGAGTACCCTTACCTACTGCCTTCTTCCACTATTCTCATTTGTAAATTGTAAATGAATATGTTTCAGGTGGTTGTTGGTTCAGAGGATTTAGCTGCCAACCATGATGTCATGCAAATAGTGGAGGTATAGCTGCTCGTTATATTTATGCAAGACTAGAATCAATTTTGTTGTCTCAATATAAATGGATATTAATATTCATTGATTAGAAAGCGTCCGCCTTCCTTAAAATTTTAGGTCTTGGATGACCGAGCGCGTGATGAACGATTGCAGTGCTTGTTAGAAAAATATCATAAGTCCAGAAGGTATACGTTGCTGATATATTATAAACCTTATTTCTTATCTTTAGGAAGGGTTTAGTGGGCCTAGTTGCCGGGTTTACTGAGTGCTAGTATGCTGCCTGACACCTGCGACGTACTTTGGCAAGTGAGATGCAAGGCTTAAAATGGTTCAAGTCTTATTTAAGTTTTCGGGTGAAACCTTACTTTTTTGCAAACCAAGGACATGTCATCTTGTAATGAGAACATTCACAGGTTTTTCTACAAAAGTATTTGAAAACATGCAAACAACAAAACATGGTGGATCCACTCTTCTTACAATAAAGAATTGTAAGCACAAATTTTAAACAGTTTTTTTCTATCTTGTGCAGAAGACGAGCATTAATATGTCCAGTTCAGTATAATGTAATTTTTGTTGGGAATCAATTAATAGTTGTAGGTTTGAGCTGAACTAACCCTGTTTTAAAGTTCCCAAACAGATCCTAATACTCGCTTTGAATCCAAACTCTTTTTGGGTTTAGTTGTGGTAATCTCCTGCATAAGAGATTCTTTGATCTGGACCAGGTGTTATAAAGAGATATCCCAAAGAACATTTGACGTAATGTTACAATGCAGGCCTTAGGAAGCCGCTGTTCTAATGATTTCTTTCCCCAAGGGAGAAAATGGGCTGCTTGGGTAGCCCAGGATTCAAACTAAGGAACTAGGCTATTGCAGCAAATAATTTCCTTGTTATGTTACTTAAACAAAGAAAACCTCCCCTCCAAAGCTGTGCGTTCATTTTTTATGGCGATTGGCTTTATTCTCGATTTACGAGAATTTTATGAATTAATTGTTTTTCTTCCACAGTGCACCATGACGCGACAATGAAATGAACTCATCATGAATTATGCGTGAGCATTATATGGAAACACCTTGTTTCTAACTGATAGTGTCTCTGTAAATCGAAATAGCTGCTTGATTCTTTACATAATGGATTTTGAATCTGACGAATTTTGATATTAGTAATAAGATTTTCTTTTAAATAGTTTGATAACTTTTTTTTTTTTTTTTTGGGAATGATATTATCACTTGGGTGGAATCATTCTAGTCCCTTTCTTTGTCCATGCTTGTTGTAAGTTAGAGCATGAACTTCTCCATTTAAATAACCAGTTGATTTTTGTTTCCAGTTGTTTGAAATTAGTGGCTGTGTGCATGTGTTCTGTCTGGAGTGGCATGTTCCTAAAGGTCAAAGCACATGTCAAGAATTATCTCGTGAGTCTTATTGAGAATATTTTCATTCTCTGCTTATATGGGGTTTTCAACTTTGGGCAGGAATAGAGTATTGGTTTTTGTTTTATACAAAAAGGAAGCATCTCGTGTTGAGAGTATGCTTCAGAGAAGGTAATGTCACATAAGTTTTTATATGTTATAGCGATTTTGCTGTACAACAGTACAGTTAGTAATTACATATTGAAAATATGGCCATTAAGTCTGAAAGCCTTACTTATATTTCATTAAATAAGTTATATTTCCGTGATCCCTCGAATGAATTTTTATAGCTTTTAAAGCCTTGTAATTTGTTTTTGTTCCTAGGGGTTGGAAAGTTGCATCTATAAGTGGTGACAAAGCACAACATGCACGTACAAAGGCACTGTCACTGTTTAAGGAGGGAGCCTGTCCTCTAATGGTATTCAATTCTATGGAAATATGATATTTAATTATTTTGCTGTATATGGGCTAAATCTATCATATTTTGGTAATTCTGATTCCTCTCTGCTATTGTTGTTCCTATAGCTATCAAACAGCTGCAATTAAATCCTTTTTAATGTGATAGTTTTTCGCTTGATGTGCTAACATTGGTAGTGACAAGTTCAATATTTTTGGAGCTAATCTTTGTGCTTTTACTTTTTCTGAAATATCAATCGAGACCTTTATGCTTCTACATACTTGCTGCGGATTGAAAGTTACAGTTAAAAAAGGTTTAAGTGGCAAGACCCTAAGTTTAGTGTGTGTAATGAAAAGTGACTTTTGATAAAGGTTCTCGTCTTGATTCTTGTAAAAAATGACATAAACCGTATGTTTGTTCTTATAATATTGTGTCCATGGTTACTAGCTGATTAATCTTTGGCATGGTTGGTTATGATAGCAAGTCGGGGCTTTCTATAATAATGATTGTGTTTCTGCAGATAGCCACTGATGTGGCTGCTCGAGGATTGGATATTCCTGATGTTGAAGTTGTAATAAATTATAGTTTTCCACTCACGACAGAGGATTATGTCCATAGAATTGGTAGGACTGGACGAGCTGGAAAGAAGGGGGTGGCTCACACTTTCTTCACTAAGGACAACAAGGTATATTTTTAAATCTTCAGTAAATATTAGTTTGATATTTTTTTGATGTACTTAATTATGCATTGATACAAGCACTAAATTCTCATAGGGACTTGCTGGAGAGTTGATAAATGTTCTCAAGGAAGCTCAGCAGGTTGTACCTGAAGCCCTACTAAAATTTGGGACTCATGTAAAGAAAAAGGTAAGAATATCTTTTATTTATTTATTTCCTCGAGGAATAGTGTATAATAACTAGGTGCTTTGAGAAATATAAGGTTAGCTAGAATCCGATCATCAGAGAAGCTAAGCTCCCAGCATTGTCCTATTAGAAGGTCCTCTCGCCAACAATAGTACGCTTGCAATGTCATTTCATTTTTTAAGAATCTTCATTGGACGTGCCAATATAATGTCTGACATTGCACTAATGCCGAAGTATGTGCTTTCTCTAGCCAGAAATCAACATTTGGCTGAAAGACAGGACCTTAATATGTAGTGGAAACTAGAAAGAAGAAATATATATTTATCTGATGAGAAAGTATCCTGAAAGAAGAAATGGAAAATATTTTCAATATAATTGTTTTCCAATCTCTTTGAATAGCTGCTACTGATATATCTGTTAAGCGTAAACTGTGGGTCTGTTTTAGGGATACAACTTTTTGTGCTGTTCGATTTTATTTTAGTTTTAACTCGTAAGGTATTGGCAAAATTGAAAGAGGTTGAAATGGGTTTTGTGAAGTATAAGATTAATGAATGTCCACGTCCATATTGTTGAGGGAAACAGACTACAAATTTATCAATTTGGAATAAAATCAGCAAGGACTTCTATTGCGTGTGGGTTTCAATATTGTTGTACTCGCTATTCATTCATTTCAGATACATCCTCTGATTTTGCATGCAATTTCTGTATTAATGACTTGGTTTGATCAATTTCTGGTCATGTTGTGTTATTCACTGACAACTTACTTCCATGCAGGAATCCAAGTTGTACGGTGCTCATTTCAGAGAAATCGATTCAAATGCTCCCAAGGCTACAAAAATAAAGTTCGACTGTTCAGACAATGAAGATTGATTCAAGAGGTCATGCGAAAACGATTCTTGGATAATCTGATTCACAAAAAATGTGAAAGCGTGTGGTGCCAGAACGGTAAGAGGCCTAGTATAGTTTACATTCTTTCATATTTGGTAAGTTATTTGAAGGACAAATTTCAAATATTTTGTTTGTTTTTTCCCTTGTTGTCATCCTATAATTCATGGGCCCAGATTTTAAGTTTGTTTCATTATGGGATATGAATTATGATTAATTGTGGGAATCATTTATTAATTCTGCTGATACAACGTTGGTTAAGGAAAGGTTGCAAAGGTAAATTCAGGTGATCATGATAAATGTACTTGTTGTCTCTAGCCTGTATTGCGATGGGTTTACAAGTAAAGATTAATGTGCATTATGTATATATTTTGACATTTATATTTTAAGGTTGTGCATGCCTCTGAATTATATAATTATGGGAGACGCTAAACTTTCAGCGAAATTTCAGCTGGGTCCAAAAATGTCTTCAAGGAAAGTTCCTCCTAAAGATTGTTTTCATCTTAGAAGTTCGTCCTAAAGATCATTTAATTAAGAGGAATTCTCGGAAAGTACCGAATGAGATTTCCTAAAATTGGCTCCTAACGTAAGTAATTTTGCACTTGTGGGAAGAGAAGGAAGAAGTTAGTTTTCAATATTTTTAATAAGTTTACAAAATACATTTATCACTATATAAGGCAATATGAGACATGCTTTATTAAAAATTATAATATTGAAGATATTGATGCCAAGACATGGATTGATTGATACAAGAATTGAAATCAGGAGAAGCTGTTGTACTTTATCTCCTTCGATCAAGTTTTGTTCCCCCTAAATTTTTTATAAGGTTTTAACGAGGCAAATATTTATCATGTGGCATTCAATGGAGAGTGTTTTAAATATTACGTTTATTAGTGAATAACAATTATATTTCTACAATATTAGGAATCATGACCATTGTATCCTTAATTCTTCAATATAAAAATGGAACTTCAATAAAACATACGAGTCTATTAACTTCTTTTATTCTTCATTTTTTCTCTCTATTTTATAACATCTTTAATTTTTAAATACGTCAAAATTTTTATCAAACAAAAATAACAGCAATTTATGGTTGACATTGGGTCCTATATTTTACTGTTTGATTTGAAAAAAAATATTTATTTATTAACCAGTTAAATTATGTTGTTTTCTCAACCTCAAACACGACCTAGTACTATCATAGGAAAATACTTCTAAGAGCATCTCTAAGAAATCTTTGAACATAAAGATGATTTCTATTTCAAATAGTCAAAAGAGACTATTCAAATTAATATTTTAAATTAGAGTTAAATTTGAAAAGTCAAACTCACTCTCCATAATTAAATGCATTCAAATTATTTCAATTTTCAGTGGAGAAAAATAAAATACTAATTTAGAGGAAAGTTAGTGAAAATAAAAGATAGAGAAAAATAATAAAGACCTTGTTGAAGTACTTAAAAATTACTCTGAATTTATAAATATATTTTAAATTGCAAAATATGCTTTTAAAAATATAGTCTCGGAAATAGTTTTTACTATTATATTATTCTAACCAAGAAGATGAGGACGAGAAAATTTCGAAGTTCAAGCCCCAACAATTAAGTTATATGTACATTGTTCTTGACAATGTGGTTGACATACCCCTATGTAGAAGAAATTTGTGTAGTGATGTTAGGTATTTTGATACCAAATAAATTCAAGCGATGATGAATTTGTCGGAGCAGTTAGAACCCTTAAGGCTATTGAGAACAATGACATTTACATCTCTCATGCTGAAGTGATAGGTGGTTTAAACAGGTTTCACCGGTACACTTTGTGATGGAGTTTTAAAACTATTTAAAGGAGCACTTCAAGCTTTCAAGGCTACTAGGAACAATGGCATTTACATTACGCATGCTGAAGTGATGGGCGATTTAAATTCCACTATCAATGACGCTGATCACACATAGAAGTGGCACAATTGGTTAACTCACGTTAGTGTTGGAGGACTTAAGTTTCTCAACGACAAGTGTGTGTTTGGTAAGGATCAGGTGTGTGACATGCCATTTTGTGATCATTATGTGCTTGGTAAACATCGTAGGATGTCATTCTTATCTAGCACACACAAGATATCTAGAGTGTTAGAATACATTCATACCAATCTGTGGGGTTCGGTAAGCAATCCCACTTTTGGCGGTAAAAAATATTTCTTGTCTATTATTGTTGATTTCTCCAAACGTGTGTGGGTTTATTTGCTGAAAGATAAATCAGAAACTTTAGTGAATTTTAGAAATTATAAAGCTAAGGTGGAGAACTATACATGTAAGAAAGTGAAATATTTGCATATTAATAATGGTCTCGAGTTTTGCAATGCTGAATTTGACATCACTGGACATTGGACTGCGCCTTATACTCCCTAGAAAAGTGGGGTTGTTGAAAGGATGAATCGTACTTTATTTGATAAAGTTAGATGTATGATGCTAAGTTCTGGTGTGCCTAAGTCTTTTTGAGGTGAAGTTGTTATGACTGTATGTTATCCGACTAATATGACTTATTTCGCCACTTTGAATGGTGATACTCCCTACGAGATTTTGTACGATAAATGTGTTGATTATTTTATGCTTAGGACCTTTGGTCATGTTGATTTCTCTCATCAAAGTGGGGGAAAACTAGAACTTAGAGATGAGAAGTGTGTCTTCTTTGGCTACCCCGAGGGAGTTAAGGGATATAGGTTATTTGATAGAAGTTAGAAGGGCGTGAGAATAATCATAAGTTGTGAGGACACATTTAATGAATCTGAGATGCCTCGCAAAAAGAGTGAGGAACATCAAGAAACTGTTAAGTAAGAGTCCCCAGTTGAGGTGGAGCGAGCGAGTGTTCACATCTCCATTACCTCGAGGGAGGTGGAGAGTAATATAAAAATCAGCAGAATATAGAGTTAGAAGGCGATGATGAAGTTGTTGAGGACAACCCTATCAATCAAAACCCTCTAATTGATTATCAATTTGCTAGAGATGGAGAGAGGAGACCCATGGGGAACTCTAAAGGTTGTTTGATTACACCATTGCCTACATTAGTTATTAAGAACTAGTTGATAAAAAGCTAAATACCTATGAAGAGGCTATGATGAATGAAAAATTGAGTAACTAGGTGCCATTAGAGGAGAGATGAGTTCTCTTGCCAAGAATCAAACTTGGGATTTAGTTCCTAAATCCAAGGATAAATCCATAGTAGGATACAAATGGATTTACAAAATTAAGGAGGGAATCACTAAGAGTGAGCCCGGGAGATATAATGTTAGGTTAGTAGCCAAAGGATACACCCAGATGGAAGGGATAGATTATAATGAGATCTTTTCGCCGATTGTTAAGCATACCACGATTAGGGTCATACTTGCTTTTGTTGCTTACTATGACTGGGAACTTGTACAACTTGATATCAAAACTATTTTTTTGCATGGTGACGCTGCTGAAAAGATTTTTATGAATTAGCCAAAAGATTTTGAAAAAAGTCTAAACCTGACTATGTGTATTTTTTAAATAAATTTCTTTATGGGCTAAAACATTCTCCGCGGTAATGGTATAAAAAATTTGATTCTTATGTGTTGTCTATTGGTTTCAAGAGAAGTAAGTTTGACCATTGCTTGTATTACTTGCACCGTAGCACTAATAAAGAGTGTATATTTGTTAGGGAAAGAATTTGACATGAAAGACCTATCACATTCTAGGAGGATTCTTGGTATGGATATTAATCGAGATAGGTCTAATTATTGCTTATATGTACATCAAAGTCCTCACGTGCTTAAAGTTTTGAAAAAAAATGGTATAATTAATTGCAAACCTGCTTCTGTGTCTCTTGAAAACCATTTTATTTTGTTAAAAGAACAACCACCTGTTAATGATAAAGAAAGATAATTTATGAATAATATTCCTTATTCAAATGTCATTAGCTCCGTTATGTACTTATGGTTTGCACTAGACCTAATTTGGCTTTCATTGTGAGTGTTTTAATTATGTACATGTCTAATTCTAATCACAATCCCAAACATTGGGAAGCATTAAAGTGGTTGCTTAGGTACGTGAAATGTACTTTTGATGTAGTGTTAGTTTATAAATTTGCTAATGAAGATGTGAAACTTAAATGTTTCACAAGTGCTGACTATAGTGGTGATAGAGATAATATGAAATCTACTTCCTCTTCCGTGTTTACTTTGTGTGACTTGTGTGAGTTGAAAGTCTCATCTTCAACATACAGTTGCTTTATCTACCACAAAATCTAGGTATATTGCTGCCATAGAAGTTATTAAAGAAGCTTTATAGTTCAGAGGTTTACTTAATGAACTAGGTGTTTTAAGTAATAATGTGATATTACACTCTAATAGTCAATCTGCTATTTGATAAGTGCATTTTACACACTTATTTAAGCCACAAAATATGGATAATTGTTGGTAAGTATATTGAAATGTCATAAATTATGTTTTGTAGGATAACATTAATAGAGATGGTGGAATTTAGGAAAAAACAAGCAAAAAATGACTAAAATGGAAGAAAATCAAAGTTCAGGAACCAAAGTACAAATAGTCAAAAGATGACCTGGAAGAAGAAACGAAAATATGAAAGAGTCGAAGACCAATTTAGCGAGCCATGAAGTATTGAAAGAAGAAGAAGTGAGAAAAGAAGTCAAGAAATGAGAAAATGAAGTTCGGGACCAAAACTCAAAGAATGAAATTTCACTTGAATTATGCTATAGCATAGTTATTCTCTCTATGCGGTCACTTGGCATGATTCAAGGAATTCCATGGATGAAATTCATTGAACTATGCTATAACATGAGATTATACTATACTATAGCACAGTATATTTTCGGAGGAAAAATTTTGGTTTCCTTATTTGAATAAAACTCTTATGGAAACAATGTTGGGAACGTTTTTTAAGACTTAAAGCCGTCCATAATGAATGAGAGACGCATTCTAACAGATTTGGAATCATAGAAGGAGGCAAGAAACA